GCAAGGGAACGTTACTTCGGTGATACAACTGAAGAGGTTCCTGAGCCACTACTTCGGGACCAGCGTCGAGTCCGAGGATGCCTTTTCTTCATACCTCCTGTCTTCCTTTCTCGAGGATGGGGTGGGAATGTTCGAGATCATCATCACCGTCATTCGTGACAAGGAGCGTCGGTTGCTGCCTGGTTCCGCCCGCATAGCGGCGGTAAGGTCGCTTGAAATCGGATCCGACACTGATTACCGGGCATTTCGTGAACGATACCAATACATGCTCTACGAGAGCCCTGTTTGTCTTCCTATCACCTCCAAGGTGGTTCCTAAGACGCTCTACAAGGTGGTGCCTCTCCGAATGTATCGGCTCTACGTAGAACGTGGGGCGATCATTCGGGGTGGGCGAGCTCTGATCGAGCTCCTTCCCTCTCGGCCGGATGAGTATCAATCCCTCCGCGATCACGGAGAGTGCCCCAACGACACTGTCGACCGCATCACCGACAGCAACGTGACGGAGCTGCACACCTCGGGTCGACGCCAAAGGAGCGATCCCCGATATGTGGTCATGGCTATCGATGCACGTTTCTTCTCCATGGAAAATGGGGGCATGCATATTACTCGTCAGGGTACCTTTGCGTCGCGCGAGAACATCGCGATCGGGTACTGGAGATGCGTCTACTTCAAGGAGGACTGCTCCATCATTTACCTGAGGCCTTGGTGCTATCCGCCCAACTTCCTCAACTCCTTGAGTGATAACCCGAGGAAGTGTCGGGACGAGATGGAGAAGTACCATCAGATCACCAAGACGGAACATGTCCGCGAGGTGGTGTCCGTTCCATGCCATAGGTGCATGACGGCCCATCCGGTCGGCGCTCACCTGTGCACCGCCTGCTACCTTCCCATCTTCTACGATGGCGTCCTGCCCACCGGAGACACGAACGGCGGCCCTCGCACGATAGCGAGCACTGACGGGTTGGTTCCTCCCTGGCTGGCAAAATACGAGGGCTTCGTCCCCGCTCTGTGGAACAACTCAGACGCCAACGCCATCGGAATGGCCCTCTACTCGCAGAGTCCCGCCGTCGATGCCCGGTCCTTGTTGATGTCTGGGATGCGGCCTCCTAAGTACCTTGACAAAGAGGACGTGGATGGCATTTTCCGGAAACTTCACGACTCGCTCCGAGACGAAGTCCTTGACGGCAAATACCGTGACACGGTCGACAACAACGTGGAAGAGTGGGTAGCAAAGGCGATCCTGGTAAGGGGTCTGGCCTTCAACGGGAGCTCCGTCCCCGAATTCTTCGAAGAATATGAGGGATATGCGGCTGAGTGGGGCAGACGCCTAACCACCGCAAACTTCAACGCCAACCGGTGCGGCTTTTACACGTCCTACTACATTCTTGAGGCCCATATCATTGGGCTGAGAACAGGACACCTTTCTCCGATACTCCCCAACGATGTGTCCGGGGAGGGATTCAAGTTCCAGGTGGGGCTGCTCGCACAGCACTGCGGGATATTGCAGGCCATGCGGAGAAGGGCCGGTTTCGATCCTGCCGCGCGCCTCAAACGGGCTATGGACACGATACGGGAAGGCATTAAGAAGGGGTATGTCTACACCCTCAACGACCTCAGCAGTATGGACGATCTGATCTACCGGACGTCCACCGTTGCCTACGACACCTGCTTGGCCGACCGTCCTCAAACCCAGGATGACATCAAACAGGAGCTATCCGACCCTGTACCAAGGAAATACCGCTTCCGACCCCGCGATCGCCATCGACCCGGAATTCGCCTTACACCAGGCCCCGGCGTGAAGGACGAAGACGAGCCCGACTTTGCTGGATCAGCGGAGGATGAGCTGGGATCGGATGGTTCTTCGCACGAAGATGACGAGAAGCCTGACGACCTTGACGAGCCCATGGGCGACGACGAGGAGGAGATCCCTCCCCCTCCGCCACCGCCCCCGGCTCCTCCTGCGCCGCCTGTCCCGGTAGAACCGGAGACTCCCGTGGTGCCGCATGCAGGCGTCATTTCTGGCGATGCTGTGCCAACTCCTCCTCCTCCTCCTCCCGCTCCCATTGCGGCAGGCGTTACTACGACTGGGGATCCGTTTGAGGAAGAGGACATGGCCATCAATACTCGTGTCCCTGACACCGAGTCCGAGCTGGAGGGTGAGTCCGACCAACCCAAGGCCAGAAGGACATCTCGCGGTCGGGTCCCCGCGCCCGAAAAAGGGCAGGGGGGCGTTCAGGTCCCGCCTAGCGGGCAACCCAGCTCTAAGAGCATGGCCCAGCCTGCCCGCCCATCCCCGGTCCCCGCGAGAAGCGGTGTGGAAGGTGGGGAGAGAAGGGGCAGGACTAAGGGTTTCTACACCCAGAAGGATCCTTTTACCGGCGAGGACGCGACTCCCCGAGTTCGTCTTCGATCGGGCGGTCCCGGAACTCCTGCGTCCCCACCACGGGATGCCACCGGTTCCTTGGGCGGCCATCGCGGCTATGACCCGCGTGATGACGACAACGACGAGTGGGAGCTTCCCCCGGGTGTGCCTCGGACCACTCGTGCGGCAGATGAGTCGCGGCCCCGACGAGATGACGATCGGTCAAGGACCGCGCTTGGGGCCCGCGAGGATCGTCGTGGTCCTAAGGGTGAGGGGAAGGGTCGAGGAAAACATCGACCTGGCAAAGGAGGACGTGAGGATCCCGGCCCGCCCCGACAAAGGGATGATCGTGGCAGGGACACCCGCGGAGGCCGACGCGATGATCGCCGACCTCCTCCACGTCATGAGGAGACCTCCGAGAGGCGCGGCCCGGGGCGAGATGAGCGCCGCGGACGTGATGACCCGGGCGATGACCGTCGCGATCGCCACCGGGACCGGCGCAGGGATGACCGACGTCACCAATCAGATCCCCCTCCGCCTCGCCGACCTCCGGCTGGCGACCACAATAGGGGTGGTGGTGAGGATCGCCGTCGGGATGGAGGAGGTGATCGAGGTGACCGTGGTGGACGCCGAAGAGACGACGCGCCCAGGGACCGGGAAGAGCCTGGTTCAGGGTGGTAGACGGGTGCCGCAATCAGCATCCGCCGGTAGACGGGTGCCGCAATCAGCATCCGCCTTAGAAGGGCGAGGATAGTACGTGTGTCGCCGACAAACGCGACCGCGCCGGTCCTCCTCTCGCCCGTGCAGCGCTGCTGGGGGTGATGATCTCCATTGCCCTGTACCGCTGATCCGGCGTTGCTCGTGTCCCTCCCGCACCGCTGCCGTGCGCGCCGGAGACGGTTCCCCTGGCGATCCTGTGTGAGGCTGTGACCGCACTAGAAGTGCCGGGCCGGCCATTGCCAGTTATTTTCACACCAATTTCGGAACTTCTGTTTCTAATTTCCTCCCAACTCGACTACTCTTCCAACCGCTCCACGGCGTGCAGTGAGGCGCGGTGATCCAGATAGGATCCCCCTCCGCATGGCATCGTCCCATGACGACTCATGAACGGCACGAGAGGAATCTTCGTCTGGTTCCTCCAATATGTCTTTGTTCACTCATGTGGTCCACTCGTCAAATAATCCTGTCGCCCCGATAATTCGGGGTGGTGGCGGGATTTTAACTGGGGCCCAGGTGATGCCGTTTGGCTCACCTCTGAGTTGACACCGGCATTTTTGGTTGGTCCCTTTCGTCGTGAACTCAACTGTCTCGCATCCTTTCTCTCGTCCTGATATCGGATGAGGGGGGTGTGTTTTGTTCACGTGTTGTTTCATCATGTGGCAAAGCGGCCGAATGGCCGTTTGGCTCAAGTTTAACCTCCCGTCAGGTTAGTTTTGGTAGCACGGCACTCGCCATAGCACGGCATCTCGCTGCGTCGCCGAGAAAGGACTCTCGGCGCTGGGGTGGGCTGGTGCTAGGAGGTAGGTGGTGCTGCGGCAGGACTTGCCTGGGCCTGGTTAAGGTGATCTTTTGCAACTTGCTGTTTAACCTTCACTTCAACCACCTCTTCCTCAATCATCACGTCCTTCAACCTGGTCACCGGCTTCAGTCCACTGAGTCGTGAGTCCGGGTTCTTTGGGTTCTTCGTGGATTACGTGAACCCTTTTTGATTCCCTGGGCAACGCCCTTTCCGCCCAAAACCGCAATATTGAAGCGTCGCACGTCATGGGGAAAGAGCCCAAGATACAAGGGTCAAGGTTTCTTAGCGTTAAGGTTCAGGGTTTATGGTTTTAGGAGAAAGGTTTGAGGTTATGTATTTTTATGGTTCGGATTTAGGGTTTATGGTTTTAGGGGTTCAGCTTTAGGGTTAAGGTTTAGGGTTCCTGGTTTTAGGGTTCAAGTTAAAGGGTTAAGGCTTCGGGCTTATGGTTTTAGGGTTAAGGCTTCGGGTTTATGGTTTCAGGATTAAGGTTTCGGGTTTATTGTTTTAGGGTAAGGTTGTTTAGGGTTAAGGTTAGGGTTTAGGGTTTTAGGGTTAAGGTTTAGGGTTTTATCATGCGGGTCCGGGCCAACCCCAGGAATTGGCCGTATATTTACATATTACAAACATGCAATCAAAAACCAAAAGACCTATTCAACAGAATGTTGAACACCTACAGGTTTGATACGGGTAGTATACACAACGACCAAAACAATATGGCCAAATACTGGCTTTTGACCGAGAAAGAAGTCATACAGGGCGTCAGGCATACCTTTATTTTGTATACGTGCCCGTCTTTGTCATGCCCTGGGCCCTCCGCATGGCACAAAGGCCCGGCAAGCTCAGAGGTGACTCTATCACAGACTCGATTTCGAAGTGTCCTTGGGTGTTTGAGTAAAACACGGGCTGGATGTTGCCTGTTGAACACCTGAACACCTGAACACCACTTGATATTTCCACGCGTTCAACTCGGAGCAACCTGTTTCCCTGGGTTTGTCCCTTCAAAAATCAGCAAACGGGCGGTGTCCCTTCACATTCCCTTCTTTAACAACCGCAGAAAGGCTTGGGGTCCCGGTTTCATTCGGCAAAGACTTCGCGGGTGGACTTTCAGCACGTCAGGCACCACGGCCGCAGCCGTCCAAAGCTTTGCCCTTCCTCTTGGGCCTCAGCTTCACCGCAGGGAAAACACGCCGCCGCGGAGCTGTGGCTCTGGCAAAAAATGGGAGGGTGTCCGAGCCGAGTGAAAAGAAGATCAAACCATGAGGGGTCTTTTTGATTGGTGTTCCATTTGGTTTCCATGGTGTTCCTTTGGTTTTCATTTGGGTTTCAGTTGGTTTTCATGGATTATTTTTGGTGTCCTGTAGTTTGGTTTCCTTGAGTTCCCCTTATCAAAGTTCTACCCGTGTGCTGATCGGGCCGTTGGAGCTCTATGAGGTGGGCACGGGTGCCACCGACCGCTTTGGGGGCGTCAGAGGAAACGTCAAAAAAGCGGGGTTTTGGAAGCGGAAATGAGCTGCCAAGCTCAGCATTTGGGAAGCTCTACGGGAGGTGCCCCTAAATGCGAAAGACCTGGCACCTCAGAGTCACATGTTCAATCGCCTGAACAAAAACAGAGAGCCCTTGTGAATTTCCGGGCGGTTCAAAAAGGCGACAACCAACGTATTCCATTATTGCCTTAAGCTTGAGCTATTCGGAGCGTCGCAGGTTGCTTCATGTGCAACATCGTTCGCATGGGGCATGTACACGCACAACTCACCTTAGATTTGGTCTAGTTTGGTGTGGTTTGCCTGCCAGGTTGGCGTGTATGCCATTTCTGCTGCGGTGAGCTTTTCGTGCCAAAGCAACCGTTTGCACTTGCCTTGTCGGCAACCGTTTGCACAGGCCTTGTCGGAGCTCCAGTTCTTCAAGTTTGACTTTTGGATACAAAGATAGATTCAGTTCATTGGATGGGGGTGGGTGCTTCCAGGACAAGATTCTGCGAGGCCCTCGAGACAAGAACGGCAAATTTGCTTTGATATCATGGCAAAGGGCATACCAGAATGCCGTCCAGAATGACTGTCAACGATGTCCAGCAAAGGGTCCCAATTTGAAGTCGATGCCCAATTCAACAATAGGATTGGTATAAACAACAAGTAGACTTACAAAAAGCTGGCTTATGTTCGGAGACAGGACCCACGAAGTGTTGCCGGTGTTCTGATGTTGCCATTTAAGGATGGTGGGTTGGCCCTTTCATCCTAAGCATTCTCCCAAACAGCCATTCCCACAAGCCGAAATGCGCGGCGAGCGCAACGTAGCCCAGGCATCCTGCGCAAAGCCAATGGCTGAGGAGAGTGCTGATAGAAGAGTTTGGCCAAAGATGTGGCTTCACCGTCGTTCAATCGTCCCGTCGGCCGAAAGGTTCCAAGCCTCGCTTGTGGTCCAAAGGAGACATCTAGTCCCTTAACACGGAAGCTGGCGTTGGGCCAAGGATGAATGTCCTGTCAGCATTCCTTTGCAGCTTCCTCTCCTGAAAAAGGCACCTGGCACCCTAGAAATGTTCAAAGCCAACATTTTGACGGCCCTTGGTCTTGTGTTGGTAGCTCACAAGGGAAGTGGTACTGCTAAGCATTCCGGAGGACCCGCATCAATGGCTGGAAGAGGTGAACGGCGAGAAGTGCTTGGAGTGGGCCAAAGAGCGCAATGAGAAGACCTTTCAGAAATTCGGGCAGCCAGACAAGACCAAACTGTACCGGAACATCTTGGACATTTTGGAAAGCAAGGACGAGTCGGCGTCCCAAGTGTTTAAGGAATTGGCTTTGCACCCCAGATGCCCAGGTTCTTCAGGCTGCTTGGCGCACCCATGATTTGGAGCTTGACACAAAGACTGCAGTGTAAGCCTGGAAAAAAGGCTTTTCGTGTTGATTATTTGTTCTTTTTGCACTTTTCCGAACGACGAAAAGGTCCTTTCCCTGGCTGGTCCGGGGCTAAACCATGGGAAGCTTGGGCTTTGCAGGACAAAATCGCGTACGTGGAAAAGATCGGAGACTTCTATTACAACTTTTGGCAGGACGCCAACCATGTGAAGGGGATTTGGAGGCGCTGCACGCTGGAGGAGTATAGGAAGTCAGCAGCAGACATCAACTGGGAGCTGGTGCTGGACTTGGATGAGTTGAGCAGCCGGGCAAAAGATGAAAAGAGAGCTTGCTGGGAAGCCTGTTCATGAAATGCATTCTGCGGCTGCATTGCTCCGAAATTGCTTGTCATGAGCTGTGCATTTGTTGGGGTGTCCCAAGGTGGAACTGATTGAGCTCAAGCAGACTGGGTTCTCAAGATTAAGGACCCCTGCATGTGATTGTTTTCCTTTTGGTTTCTCATTAAAATCACCCAAAAAGGGGTCGACCATTTTGAGAAACCCACAAGTGCGGTATATAGTTTCAATCTGGTCGATCACAAGTCGTTGATCTGGCCGCTGGAGCTCGTTCTCCTGATCTGGTTGGGATTTGTTTGGGGGTGTGAGCTTCTTCTGTTTTCTCTCGAAATGTGGGAAGGCACATCCCCAGCCAGACAACCCTCCCCTTTTTGGGAGAGCTAAGGCAAGGCAGAAGGGCAGACCTGGGTGTGGCACCGGCCGACGTTCATCAACCTTGGCCCAGAGGAGAAGCACGACATTTGCCTGCTGTCGCTTTCACCCGGCGGCAGCGATGCCGAGGTGATCCGGGAGTTTAACGTTCCCCCGTCAGCTAAGCACCCACTTTTGGATAGTTCTGTCAGTGACCTCCTTGGTTCATACCAGCTGAAAGCTTTAACGTCATCGAAGAAGAGCTGCTCGATGGGATGCCCTTTCTCTCCTGCTATCGGGATAGATCTTGAGACTTTAGCTTTTTTGTTGCTCCTTATATGTCCTTTTTCAACCTACCAAAAGTTATAAACATTTTGCTGGGGGATCTACCGCACCCAAGTTTTCCTCCGCATGAACAACATGCAGAACGGTTGTAGGAACTGATTCTGGAGGCAAGTCCTCAGTTTGATGCCCGGCATGGGATGTTTGGCTCAAGCCATCGGCCCTGGAAGTTTGCGGCCGGGTGAGGTAAACTAGTAGCAGATGAGTATGTAGCTAGTTCCCAGTGGTGCCAATTGTTTTTACAGCTTGTTTGGGGGGAAGGGTTCGCCTTTAAAGTCACAACCTAGAAAAGTGATGCCCCTTTTTTCCCATGGCCGCTGGGCATCTGAGTATAGAAGCAACGGGAATGAGTATATAGTCGTGTGAGTGTGGGTGTTTTAATTGTGCGTGAGCAGATGCAGGCTATGCACATGCGCAATGCTGGATATTGTGAATGACTGAAAAAGCAGTGGCCCAAACAATGTAGGGGAACCCAATAGAGAAGACCGGTATTTGGGGGTCAAATTGACTTCCCCCAAGTTTCGTGTTGGCTTGGCGTTGGTTAGGATTGGCTCTTTATTGCTTTGTGCTGCCTTTTGTTCTGGCTTAGTATTAGCTTATTGGCTAGTATTGCTTTAGTATTGCTTTAGTATTGCGTTGTGCTGCCTTAGTTGGCTTATTGGTTAGTATTGTGTAGCCGGATGCTTATAGGGAACAATTCTGGCACAACTTTGCTCTATTTGGCACCCTTTTCATTCATCGGGCACCGACAATACTGACGTGCGTACGAGCCTTCACGCACGCGCGCAGATTTGTGTACAGCACTTGCACAGATGAGGTTGACAAGAAGGCCTTTGTGCCACCGGAGGAAGGCGGATTCACGATCAAGGAGTGCAAGACAAATGTGTCCTACAAGTCCCGTGACGTTGTGCTTGTGGGGAACCTTGGTCCCTTCAATTGGAGGTGGTTGGTACTGGAAGATGCCAGATGTCTATAGAGAATCGATGGTTGGGTTGTGTGTAAGACTTGGGGAGCACCACCAATGCGCTCAGGACGGATACTGGCGCAGCCAACGACATGACTGACTCTGGCTATCCTGCCCAAGTGCGGGAGTGGAAGCGCGGTACTGCTCTTGCTGACGCGCCGATCGTGTACCAGGTGGAGAAATCAGACATTGTAGGACTGCCTTGTGCGTTTACTCGTTGTATTGACCGCGAAACCCCTCCATGGTGGCCACAGACACCAAAGATCACCACTTTAGACAAAGGAATGGCAGTAGGATCAACATCCGCGCGAAGGATATTTACCGCATTCCAACTGTTGTTGGTCACAAAAACGTTGTTTTTGTTTGCCAACACCTAGAACAATGAACAATTCGAAGGATACGCCTCGCGCTACTATGACCGCGGAATTATACACGAGTCTCGTGGGCGTGCCATCACATTTTTCACCTCAGAGCACGTGTACCTGCATGATGGGGAGTGGAAGAAGCTGGATGTGCCTGATGACATGAACCTCATTCATATCCACAATTTGTTGGTTTTCCAGTTTGTTGGTCTACTTTCAGGAACCGTTCCTTTTGTCGTTCGACCATTTGTTGGTTTTCCAGCTTGTTGGTCTACTTTGAGGAACCCTTCCTTTTGTGGCTCGCCTTTCAGCTCCTGGTAGCAAGTGAGGAACGTGTCGACCTTCTGTGACAGGTTCCAGTTCCAGCTGCGCAGTGACTGGCAGGTGGAGGGCCAAAGCTTTACTCAAGGATCGCTGCTCTCGATCCCCATGGCCGCATTTTTCAGAGGAGAGCTGTCAAAGCTGGAGGTGCTGTTTGCCCCCTCAGCCTCAGAATCCTTGGAAGACACCACGGGCACCAAGAATCATGGCTGCATTTAGCTGGCCTTTCTCCCTTGCGCGTGGGTTTCTGAGGTCGTTCCGCGCAGGAAAGGCATCCAGGGTTGCTAGCAAGCGCTTGTTCAGTAGATATTCAGTAATGTCCATTGTCCACGTTTTTAACATGTGTAGTTGGTTTCGAGAATGAGGAATTTCCTGATCCTGAGCATCCTGGAAGATGTAAAGATCAAGTTGGTGTTCTGGGAGTACAAAGCTGGCTCCTGGGTGCAGCGGGGGGTGGAGAAAGGCTTGGGCACAGAGAGCGTGTCCCTGTCCAGCGTTCAGGCGGGCGAAGTGGGCTGGGTTTTGGGGCTTGGTGTTTCGAACTGAACTTGCTTCCATAATGCCCCCCGAACTGAACCATTGCGGTTATCCTCATGGTTTCTCGTGATTTCTTAGGGAATGGGTGAATGACCCCATGAATCATCCCCTTTTGTAGATTAGTTGACTTTGCGGACAAGACCTAGCCGATTGAAGGTGTGTGGCAATGCTGGTGCAGCTCACTTGGGTTGCGAGCATGTTCTAAATGAACATGAACACCCGCAAATTTGGTGGCCATGAATCCTATGTCACTATGTAAATGATAGTGCCCATGACTTGAGGGCAGCTAAGTCACAGATCATGGCGCAAATTGGTAGGACGTGGAGGTTGCTCGTAAGGCCGGCATAAACCATGTTCAGCATGCCCCTTTTTTTGTTTTGCCTGCGCTCTACATTCATCGTAGATTCCTTAAGAGATACGTATCCAAAACCACGCGCCCTACAGGGGCCCACCCTGCAACTCACTTGATGTTCGGGTGATGGTGGCCAAATCAACACACAAATGTTCGAAACCGAGGGCTTCGAAAAAGACACCTCCCGCATTTTGGCGACCTAGCCGGCTTGTGGGCAGGCGGATGAAGGCGATGATTTGTGGGTCACGGTCTACGGGTACCTGCGGCCTTCCACGCTCTACCTTACCGATGCAGAGACTTGGGCGATGTTGACCTGGCTGAGTTGGGGGGAATTTGTGGTTTTACGACGAAAGGCAAAGCGAGCGAAACTCGCAGGGAAACAACAAGCATCATATTTGCTTCAGATGTTCTTTCAAGCAGCATGGGCGTTACCATGGGTATGATCCATATTCGTTCTGGGATTTCCTCAAACAGCATCCTGCATTTCAAGGTTGGCTAGACATGGACCAGAATCAGGGCATTATATTTTCAGCGTCCCCCACATGCGGCCGTTTCCCACAGCCAATGTCTTTTTCCGGCCCTCAAAAAATAAAAAGCCATGAGGAGAGCCTGTGTGCCGGCAAGCTCTTGAGCATGGAGCCCCTGAAGTCTTTGCCGGCCTTCTTCAAGTCGGAGGACCTCGAGGCGAGGTTTTTCCTTCCGACGACGAGAAACATGAGGGAATGATCACCGCAAAGAAGAAAAACACTGGTCTTCCATCAGGGCTGTCCTCAGATCCCACGCTAAAAGTCTAACTTTGAGCGGTCAGTGGAAACTACAACTAAACTAACTAAAGAGCTGAAAAAAAAAACAACTCAGGAATCTGATGCCTGGGAACCACGAAGCCATGATGAACCCAGAGATCCACTTCAGTGGGCTGTTCAAAACGGTTCGTGTTGGCCAATCCGATTTTCCAAAAATCCATGGGGAGCCACTACAAATTAGACCAGTTCCTTGCGTAACCAAAGGTAAGGAGTAAAGATTACCTTTGAACAGCCCAGCTTCAAACAAGCCACAACTTCCACTTGCTTAAGCGCCCTGGACAAGAATAATTCCAGTAGTGATAGATTCCCTTTGGACAACCAACAGGGGAAAAACACCAAGAACACATTGCAGTATTCATTCCCAAAACCCCTGTTGATTCCTTAGGAACTAAGCTTTCCAGGCCCTGTTTCTCACAGGGCCGTTCTGCCTTTCAGGTGCGAGAGGGGACACCTCCTGATACTAGCTACCCTACCAAAGGTCAACCAAGTACATGATCAACCCTTCTAGACTCAGCCTACAGCCTGGATTTCCCAGCCTGGATGTGCTGTCGACCTCGTGTTGGCTGTGGTAATTTTGTTCCTGGAAGGAAAATAGTCTGCACCAGCGCAAAAAACAGCCCCGAGGCTTGGAGGGAGGAGCTTGGGCCGTTTGGCCCGGCAACCCATGTGCAACCCAGCCTCCCACCCCCGGTCCTCGTTTGGGCGAGCTACGGCGAAGCCTCAACATGGGTGAATTCCTCGACCCTCCCAACTCCTGGGTCATTGTGGGGTCGAGGTGCAGCAGTTCTTCGCCACCTCCCTGGATGGCACGAAGGTGCCCTATTTCCAGCTCAGCACCGCGGCGAGAAAGTGAATCCAAGCGTGTCCAGGGCGAAGAACCAAAGCAGACTCCAGGCTTAGGGAAACGGACTGATGGAAGCTGAGCATCGGGCGAACTCGGAAAACGCAGTAACAACACACATTTCAGACGAAGTTACACGCAAACACGCATGCAAGAGAGAGAGAGAGAGAGAGAGAGAGAGAGAGAGAGAGAGAGAGAGAGAGAGAGAGAGAGAGAGGGGGGAGAGATACAGACCCTGCTCAACATACCAAAGCAATGATACGCAGATCGGCCAACCAACAGCCACACGCAGCGCCACAAACTCAGCCGCCAGCAAACCGAACCAATCAAATCGCTGGAATTGCAAGCACTTGCCAAGTGAGCAGCAACATGGCGCAAGTGGCACAGTCATAAGCATACTTGCCAACTGATATGCATTTGCCTTTGCAAATGCGTTGCATGCATATCATGCATGGCAAACTCGGCTGGTCAATTCGTTTGTCAACCGAAATGTCCGCCAGGCTTCATTGCTCAACACAGGGACATGCATTCTGGAACAAGTGCTCCACCACGAATCGACGTATGAATTTGTCTGTCTCCTTGCTTTGCTTGCCTCGTTTGTAGGTGTCTGTTTGAAGTCCTGCCTTGCACCCATCGGAGCCAGTAGGATGGCATATCGCGCACACTTTAGGCTACGGCTGAGTGCTTGTTCAATGGATATGAGCTACCACTGCAAGAGTTCACAGGATACGTATTGGGCCCCAAAAACAAAGGTGGCGTGTTAAAATGAAGGATTCTCTAATGACCAAAAACCCTCCGAACCGCAGGTGTCTCGTCAAAACGAAGGATTCCGAGATATTCCAGTGTGGCACATACGGAGTTTGGAGGTGGCTCAATACTATGAGGCGTCACTAGATTTGAGGCGAATTCAGGCGCTCATTTAGGCTTTAAGCGTTGCGGCAAGTTGCAATCGGGTGCAAGGGATTGGTGTCAATCCAAGCGTTATGCAATTTGCCCTCATGTCCGCAGACTACAGACTAAAGCAAGTGTTGGCCCATCAGTGCATGTCACGCACTGTGCGATAAGAATTCGTACGTGCGGCAAGCTTTGTATGGCATCTGGGCCGAGTGGCGCCGTTCGTCGATTCGAGCGGGTTGTGGGCCGCTGCCGATTCCACGGAAAAATGCGAGTGGCTATCAGAACTATCCCCAAGCCTGGCTCCCTAGCTTAGCAAGACAAGCATTCTTCTCCTTTCAGGCAAGAAGGGCATGGTCTGCGATGGGAGGAATCCAACTTTGCTCTACGGTTACGGTGGCTTCGAGATCTCGTTGACCCCGGTCTACTCGGGCGGCCGGGGCATCGCGTGGCTGGAGCACGGGGGCGTGTGGATCGATGCCAACATCCGCGGGGGCGGCGAGTACGGGCCCAGATGGCACCAGGCCGCCAAGAAGGAGAATCGCCACTGCGACGAAATTCAGCGCTGGGAGGGGCTCTCCTCTACGTCTGGAAAAAACGGAATGCATGGGACCCCCCCCCCCCGTTTTGTCGTTCTTGGTTCATGTTGACTGGCAGGGGCGCAGTGTCAAAGCAGGGGGTTTCTCTAAGAAATGTGTGGCTCCAGTGCTGAGATATGCCTATGCTTAGGATCATACCGCCCGTGGTTCCCGAACCCTGTGACACATTCGTCTCAAAATGGTGACAATACCTTTTTCAATAGTGGATGTCCATGCGATTTCCCTTATACAAGCCCTGGTTACTTCAGTGACTTCGCCCGGCAGGTTCCCCAACAGCAAACCACTCCAGCACCTATTTGGAGACTCAGCTGTTGGGGGAACAATTATGACGGTGCATCTTACCGATCTGCACCCATCCCCACGAGACGGAACAATGGGGCTTTTGGTGGCTCTTTGGTCAGGTAAAGTTTAGTTGGTGGTTTGGATGGGTGGTTGGGATTTGGACCCCAGGTTCATGTAGAATGGGAAGCCACCCCCGAAACCAATCCAAGCCACCAACTAGGGGGAAGTTGGATGTTTAAACCACTTAGCCAGGAAACAACCACATGACATCACCAAAGGACTATGACATCATGGCTGGTTCTAGAGGGTACGACTCAACCAGAGTTACCACCGTGACATGACATATGACCAAAGACCTTTTTCAGAGGGTACCACTCAAGCAATGCATTCCACTTTGCCAGGACATTTATGTCCATGACATGTGTAAATTCTGACCAAAGACCTCTTGTAGAGGGTACCACGAACCACTACAAACCCATAAATTCCACTTAGCCAGGACATGGGTAAGTGACCAAATAGCTTTGGTGGGTGCCACTCAGCTCCGAATCGGTGGAGCTGAATGAGTGGCCCCGTGGGGCTGAGGCAACAAGGCCTACGAGGACTTTGAAGCGGTGGCCGAAGACCTGCTGACGCGCAAGGTCACCACGCGGGCGCTGCTGGGGATCCAGGGGGGGTCCAACGGGGGGCTGCTGGTGGGCAACATGCCCCTTGGCAACATGGCTTGGCCGCGGTTTCATTTTTTTTGGTTTTGCCCAAATGGAATCCTGAAAAAGGGGAGGAGACAGCCTTTTTTGTTGTTTAACCCACATGGAATCCAGGAAAAGGGGGTCCTTTAGAGGAGGTGCGTAAGATGATGGCTTTTGAGTTCCATGTTCATTGGGGAAGGGGAGGCTTAGGGGGCTTGGGTGCCTTTTGGAAGCGCGGCAATGGCTTTACGCTGGACATCGACCGGCATTTTTCGAGGAAAACCGCGAGCCACACTGTTTCAACACTGAGTTTCAAAGGATCCTTTGGGCGAGTCTTTGGAAGATGTGCGGCCCTTTGATGAGGACTGGTTGTTTGAAGGTGGACTTGCAGATGCCAGCCCACATGTACCATCAACCAGTCAGGGCTTGCCTTTTTCGCTTCACTCTGTGAACTACGATTGGCCCATGGCCTGGTTGTTCGCAAGTTTGCCCCAACCTCCATGGCAGTGTTCACTCACCTTGCCTTTTGCCTTCGACTTGGGAACCTAGTCTTTCCAAACCAAGCCTCCCCAGACCTGCCATTCGGCATGGAGACAATGAGTGACCAACCACGGCACTCACCAGAGGGTTTGACTGGAAATGTTTTTTTCCAGGCCCCCCCCCCCAGTCAGATTCCCTGCGGGGTGGGTAGCAAACCAGGTTGTAACCCAACTATTCAATAAAGACACCAACCCCCTTTTTGGGATCCATTTCAAAGTGCCCCAACCGATTCTTTGGCAAAAGTCCTGACCTGTGCAGAAAAAGCCGTGAATCAATATGAATATGCAAGAATAGTTAGTTGTTTGTTGTTTTATTGATAAACAGTGATACACCATTGAATGTATGACTGCAACCCCAAAGCCCAAACCAAACCAAATTCAAGCCGCCTAACCAGCCCTAAGTCGGCTGAAAGACCACAGGCTGGTCCGGGAGAAGCGCGAGCTGCTGGGCGCGGTGGTTTGTCAGGTGCCCTTGCTGGACATGAAGCGCTTCAGTCAGCTGCTGGCGGGCGCCAGCTGGATGGGCGAGTACGGCGCCTCACCGAATTTGGGCTGGGGATGTGTCAAAAAAAAGGCCGGCCAAATGGTTGGTTGCCCTTCAAAGCAATGCCAGAAAGGTACCTTCAACAAAAAGACACACCCAGGAGTTCGGGGAGGGGAAGGGCCCGACTCAAGTATAATGCATTTGGTTGCCGAGCTTACCATGATGCAGGTGCTTCATGCTTGGTATGAGCTTGCCTTTGGGCGATAGGACTGATGAAAAAGAGTCCGTTTGTGGGGATCCAAGACACATCCAGGGATTTTGGCAGGATGCATGGAAGGAGAGGTGCGTACCCCCCATTTCGTCACTCTCCGCAGCTCAGGGCTGAAAATTCGGCAACCGCGGGTTGCCGTCGGTGAAACCCGGTTCCCTAATTGTTCAGGCAAAAACCCCAAAACCCACCTGTTTCGCTTCGAATCAGCGGGCCCCCGGCCCTGGCGGTTTTGAAACGACATGTTCTTGATTTTTGTCCAGCGCAGAAAAGCAGCGAGAAACGTGCTGAATTTTAAAGTTACTCCTAGCCAAGTGGCGGCTTTTACATCGTGATAATAAGGTGTTGTCTCATTGTATGGATGGCCCAACGATTAGCTTCCTTGTTGGCCAGTCAACTCAACAGGCCAGGAAGAAACCAGCGGAACTTCAGCGACACGTTCTTCTCAGAACCCCCCCCCCCCCCCCACATTGTGCAAGAGCGAGGGCTTGAGCCTATCCCTGTGACAAACCGGGCAACCAGAGCATGAAAACGCGACTGGACCCACTGGAGTTAGGGCGACTTGGAGATGAAGATGCCCTTGGTCAAAATAACTATGACTCATCAAACAGATCACTTCCAGTGCCAAGCTATCAGATGAAGCAAAGACCAAAAACCATGGGTTAGCATATAGATTTGCATGCCCAAGCACGGAAGCTTAGGCTTTGATTTTCCAAATCAAATTGCCAAACTGCCAGCTGTTCTGTGCTAGTTGCGGAGAGGCACCCAATTTTATGTTGCCCCTTTTGCTTACGAGTTCCCTGCTGGGAAGGGTTCCCTTTTCTATCAAGGTCACTGACCAACAGGGTGTCGCAGAACATAAGCTAGGGGCCCCCATGTCTGAAATGTGCAAAAATTCGGTCGGGCTTTTGCTGACATAGACATGACTTCCGCTTCTGTACCAATTCGACATGAGAAACTTGGTCTTTGGGGGAGTTGTGACAGGCGATCCAAGTACGGATTGGCATTTCCTGGAGCGCTACTCCCCGTACCACAACGTCTCGAGTGAATCCACGTATCCCCCGGCGCTCTTTGTGACCTCTACAAAGGCCAGAGCCATGTGATCTGTGAGGCGTTTGCCGTTTGCCTAGATGGGACCGGTGATCCAAAGCATCCAAATGGAAACCCAGGCTCTCGCAAAAGCAAGCAGGTGATGCTTAAAACAAGGAGAAACAGAGGGAACCCTAAATAGCGAAATAGTAGATGGCACAATTCCTCCGTTTGGGTTTAGTAATCCCGTTTCTCAAACAAAGAAACGGTGTAATTCCAAGAACTAGAAGTAACGGACCCCTATGTTTTTCTCCCGGAGCTCGCCATTGGCAGATCTATCCTCTGCCTTAGGGGGGAGGTGGAGGGGTATTCACATAGTCCTCCCAAAGCCAAACGAGAACCGGAAACCTTCACTCAATTGTGTTGAGCCACGCTTTTTCCAGACGCCCCATTTGAGAGGGGTCTACGTTTCCCCAACAGAAGCTGAAATGGGATCTTCGGCTGTTTGCCAGACTCCCGTGACCGATTCTGATGGGGTTGAGCCAACGGTTGAGCCTACCTAGTAAGGAAATGTCTATCCTTGATGTTTGAGGAACCCAGGACTTGTCCTGGCTTGGTTTTCTCTCTGATGTGATTGATTTCCTGTAGAGCGTGCGCACCTGCGGCCTTTTCTATCTCCATAGCTGCGCTGCTGTATGATCTAGAACAAGGGCCTCAAGCCGAAATGGATTACTTGAAGATCCATGTGCTTCCCCCCCAACATTCACCCCGCTGGCATGCGCAGAGGATGACCGCGTCCACCCGGGCCACGCCCGGAAGATGGTGGCCAAGCTGCAGGAGCATCCCAGCGCCAAGGACTGCTGATTGCCGATTCCTGGGCTCGCGAGGGTTTTTTTGACTGCCATTGGGTTGGTTCTTTCTTTAACTTTTTGGAAAATCAGGGCGGTTTCCACTAAACCCCCAAAAAGTTAAAAACTTTTTGCAGGGTCAGCAGCAACCAAGTTTGGGGGAATGAACCCAGCGAGCCCCTCCTTAAGCGAAGGTGCCCCCAAGCCAGCCGGATCCATTGACAGCTCGAATGGAGGCTCGACTTTTTGGATCTTGAGGGGTCCGCGGATTTGGCCATACGGTGGGCCGGTGGGGAGACAGGGAGAGAGAGAGGAGGGGGAGAGACAGAGAGACAGACAAGCAGACAAACAGACAAACAGACAACCAGATAGAGAGCGAGAGAGAGAGAGAGAGAGATCCACTTTGGTTTCAAAACAGGGAAACTGAGGGGCCCTGTTATGGTAGTGAGCTTGTGCGGGATCGCCACAAAGGAATTTTGGTCCATTGTTTTCACACATGTGCCCCGGAAGTGGGTCGCTTTTACCAGATCCACTTCTTTTGGCTCGCTGCCATTCTGGCCGTCGCGTGTTTTTTGTTTCCCCCTCTCAAAGCTTCCCGGCCAGCTGCTCGGGCACGGGCGAGCCTTCCTTACAAAGGGATTGCCAGAATCAGCCAACCGCTTTGAGCCACCGGGGGTTTTAGATTGTCTCGTTGGTTCGGCTGGGAGTCTACACTGCCCGGTTCCAGAATCTTTGTTCTCGAGTTCCAACGGCAAAAAGTGTTCCTATACCCCCCCCCCCGGGAAGTTTGTTCCGTTCAATTGGGGGCGGAACGGTGCAAGGTATGCTGCAGTGAAGCTCAATGACGGAAGTTTCTAGAGCAAGAAGGGCTGCGCGCAGGGCAACTTGCGCCAGGCAACTTGCAACTTTCGAGCCGGAGCTCCGGGAGTGTACTTCGAGCACTACTTTCGTACTTAAAAGACTCAACAATTTCAACTTTCGAGCCGGAGCTCCAGGAGTGTACTTCGAGTACGACTTTCGTCCTTAAAAGTTTCGATCTTCAAGCCAGAGCTCCGGGAGTGTACTTCGAGTACTACTTTCGTACTGCCGGAGCTGAGGGAATGTACTTCGAGTACAGCTTTCGTGCTTAAATTGTCCGACAAGTTCGCGCGGTGTCGCAGTGAGAGAGCCTCCGCAATATCTGCAGAGGGCCCCCCAGCATTCGCCAATTCGCACACCGTTACAGCGAGAGCGCTTCGACGCGCCAATCCCCGCAGAGGGTTCACCGAGCACTTTGCAAATTCGCACCACTGGCACGACCGCCACGCGCTGCGTCGGCGTGCTTCGCCCGATGCATTCTTTGCGGGGATCGTGCGTGTCGAAGCGCCGTCGCTGTGACGCCGTGCCCTTTGCGTGCGGCGGACCCGCACGCGAACCAGAAATAGCCTTCGCGATTTGGCCAGCCTGCTGCATGCTGCGCCTGCCACACAATTCCTGTCTGGATCTCCTTCCTTGTGCTTCTTGCTTCCTTCCCGTGTGTCTGTTTTTGCTCCTTCAGTTTTTTGTGTTACGGAAGTTTGCGAACTAATCTTTCTTTGGCTAATAGGGTGCCAGCGGGAGAGGTTTTTTCTGTTAGGGTCTCCGTTGGGTTCCGATCATAAGGTTTTACTCAAAAGTTGTATCCTGAGCGCCTTTTCCTTTCAATCCAATGGGTTGCCTTGCGGGCGAAGTTTTCATCATTAGGGTCTAAATCAGGTTCCTTCCGTTATTTGGGGCACGTTTTTGCAAGCGAAATGGTTCCTTTCCGCTTCCTTTCCGCAATGAATTCTTAATAATTGCAGTCCGAGGACTTTGTTTGCAAATGAAATGGGCCCGTTCCTCTTTTCCAGTCCTCTTTTCCAACTGGAACTAAACAACACAATCTGAAACAGTCCCATCCAAAAATCTGGGAACCCTAACAATACAGACCCTCCGAGTTTTTTTGGTATTTGGTAGGAAAAACAATTTTGCAAGCTTGAACGCGACAGCCAACAGCAGCCAACCCCCTAAGCCTCTCAGCCTTAAAATGCCAGGACATATTTTTGCAACGGGTAACCTTGCCATATCTTGCAAGCAGCCACTGATCATAGCCTCTGCGACCTCGGACGGCTCGTTCCAGGCGCACTGCACCGTGTCTGTCCACGGGCGACCCGCGTAGCCTTCGATGCCGAACGCATTGTTACGCTGGTTCGCGCTATAGTTTGCGGCAAGCGTGCACAAGGTTGTTTCAAACATCGGCTTTAGCGGAGAGGGGACGGCCTGCTAGTAGGGGGACCAGATTGTGTCATTTGGTGTTGCGGTGCCGGATTGGCCTGAAATGGCTGCAGAATTGGTCGAGTACTGGCTCGGTATTGGCTGAATATTGCTCTAGCAATGGCTCTACAATGATGCCCCCTAATACAACTGGGCTTTGCGCACTTCAGTCACTACTACTATAGTTCGCCCGATTCAGAACGTTTGGTTCAGCAACCACCAGCAATGCGCCACAATACCGTCATGTTGGAGCCACACCGAAACGACGACGCTTTGTGACTAAATGTTGCTGCCTGCCCGCCCTTTTCCCACAAGCAAGGGCGCAGTGCAAAGAGACAGTATTGCCTGAGACGTGTCAGGGCACACCTCTCCCACGTCGCACACTGCCGCTCAAAAAGCACGCTTGTGATGCCTACTTCTGTGATTTCTCGTCGCGTCGCGCCGCTGGCCGAACTTCGCCCGAACTTCGCCCCGTGTGGCCCGCTCTTCGCCACGCGTTGCCGCGTGTCGCTTGCGTGTTAGCCCCGTGTCCTAAGTGAGAAGTGCTGGTTTGGGGCTGTGGAGCGTCAATTTTCAGGCACCAAAGCCTCACGGCGTTGACTCGCGCCGGTGTCGCCAGCGTGTCATCACCGGCCGGTTGCCTCGCACAAGGAGTTTGGCAAACTGTTGGTTGCAATGTGTCACGTGTGTTGCGTGTGAACTGTTTGATTGACCCACACGCACCTTGGAGGTTGAGCTTGACAACTTCAAAGACGATTCAAACATCATACCATACCTGAACGAACACCGCTTCATCACCAACGTCCGGAAGTGGTAGGGGGCGTCGCGAGAAGATGCGGAAATCGCTTGGGCTGACGCCGTTCGCGACCCCAACGTAAAGAAGGGGAAGGACGAATACGGGAACATCACGGTTGCCAAGCTGAAAACTGCGGTTCGCACCGACGGGCAGCGCCACCACAACAACAACAAGTCCACGGGGGTTGCGCGCACGGTGGATGCTGGCGACACTGATTCTGTGCGTGATGAGCCCGAAAGATCCCAGACCGCGCAAGACACGTCTCCTTTCTGAGAAGCTACTGCAGTTGTCCACTGTTTGTGTCAGTTGTTGTTCGCTGAGTCCTCATGGCCTCCCGCCTGGCTATTGATGCGAATATGGCGTTCATGACAGGACTCCAGTACGCATTTGCGCATATGTACCGTTTCCTACACACAGCCGGAATGGGCCACCCTTGTGCTGCGCAACAGTGTCGCCAAATTTCCGAAGCCTGACAGGCGCCGCAGCCAAAATTTGCGTTCAGAAAGTTGGGGTATGAGCCGAACGCGCTGCAGATTGCAGTTTTTGATAGATTTTGCAAAAAAATGCAAAGCAGAGTGCTGCTATTTCGCCCGGCTCAGAAATTAGTTCACTAGATTCACTACCTCGCCCCGGTCAATTACCAACAAAAAATGCCGATTCAGCACCTTTTGCCGACTCATCTCTCAAACCAAACACTACTGTTTCTGAAGCTACTGACTGCCTGGCAACGCACACGCGCTAAGTGGACCCGCTCAAGCGCGCCCGCTCAGCAAACACCTGCTAAACAAGTAAGTGCACCTGCTCAAGAGCAGCCTGTCAGCGCTGCACACTCGCCCACTAAATGGTAAGCACCCTCTTAAGAGCACCCGAGCGCTCCTGCCAAGCGCGCCCGCTCAAGCGCACCCCGCTCAGCACCGCGGGGAAGCCTTTTAAATGCTAAGCGCACCCGTGCAAGCGCACCCTCTGAGCAGGGCGCGACAAACGGTAAGCACGCCCAGCTCAGCGGCTCGCGCTCGCTTGCTGCATGCTACCCACACCTGCTCAATCAAGCCGCGCCACAACGCATATGCTGAGAGCTGCACAAGCCTGCCGAACGCTAAACACAACCTCTCAAGTGCACCTGCCAGCTGCGGGTTTGAGTTTGCCTTTGCCTCACGCCTCAGACTGCGTGTTCAGCGACTAAAGGCCATGCGCAAGAGCTTGTGACCCCATGACTTCATGGTGATTCACACTTGTGTTTCGCACCCCCAGACTTATACATTCTCCAACATCGTTGGACGAGGCTTACGAGCAGCTGCGGCAAGGGAAGGAAGCTCAACTCATCAAGCTGCCAGGCCGCATGGTGCACGATGGGACCCCAAGAAGAGGTGAGGATTGGAGGAAAACGTGGGAACGTTATTTTGCAATGGCAAGAAAAGGGAGGTGGCGCTGCGCGTCTCATTGTGACGTTGGCCAGACACCTTTGTCGAGCTGTGTGGCGGGCTGCTTCCTGTTGAGAGGTTGGCACGCAGGAGGCCAGGCAGCATGAACTTCTGAACTTGCCCCACGCGAAGCAAAGTCTTTTTTTGGTTGCTGCAACTCGCATATTGCGATCCTGCACAACGCCGCTACCCTGACGCCGATGACCCAGGGCAGATGCCAAGCGAGCAGCGAAGCCGCTAGGGAGTAGCGGGGGCAGTGTGACACACACTTTCGCATCTCGCGCAGACGGCGAGCCAGCGGCAAAGCCGTCAGGGCAGAGTGGATGCAACGTGACCCACCAATGGACCATGCGAGAAATTCAAGGCCTCAGCAGGCAAGCATACGGGGCTGCGTTTGAAACGTGGTCGAGGTAGTACTGCCAGATTGCAGACATCGGGCGCGTGCGCGCGTTTGCCGCTTGTTTACGTGTCCCACGCGCAGGCTTTGGACGCATTTATTTTCTTGCAGGTGTGTTCCGGCGCCTATTTGTAGGAGGTGCGCCGGCCTACGCAAAAGCCGCCTGCGATTCAGAGGTATGGCACTTCCGGTTTCCCGACGCGCTTCCAGTTTCCAGATTCCAATCCATATTCCAGTTTCCGCACCCTTCGTCCAACGCTCCAGCTCCCAAAGTTCCATTTGCTGACTCTGAGTTTCCCAATCCGACGTTCCCAGTTTCCGATTCCCAGTTCCAAATCCGGCGCTTTCGGATTTCTAGATTCCGTGTCCGTCGCTTTTTAGTTTCCGAGTCCAGCGTTGGCCTCACACGGCCGGAGCTGGCATCGGCGGAAAATTTTGCTGGTAGGCAATTTAGGCTGATTGATTCTGGTTTTGAATTGGGGACTTGCGTTTTGGGACATCGATTTTTTCAATTGGGTGCACCATGGAACGGGGGAAGGGATTAGGGAGACCGCCCGTTGGATATTTTGGCGCGTTTGAAGCCCAAGTTCTTCATGAAGTTTTCTAACTTGCACGGGGTGTTGGTCACCCTTGTCGCTTCCTTGCCCGAGCTTGCTTGCAGAGAAACAGCTCTGTGCGGACAGGACCAGACCTTCTACTATGAGAACATCGAAGGAGGACATGGTGGAGCAGCAGATAACAAGCAACGGGCCTTCATGCAAGTGGTTCAGTATGCCTTCCTTTGGCAGACAATGACCAATGGAAGTTTGCCTAGTTCAGTGGCAGAATTGTTACAGGTGACGGAGTGAGCTAACTCTGAGTGTTGACCGGCAGACAGCTGAAGATGCAACTGAGCTCAAGCTATAGACCAAAAGTGCGATTGAGTTGGAGAAGAGACGGCAGCGAAAGGTTTCTGTGGTCTGCGGAAGATTCGCAAAGACTTTGAAGGAATGCATTTGGTACAGTGTTGGGGCGGAGTTGCGACGGTTGGTCGGGAATGAATTCTGTCGTTTCCGTGCTTGTTCCCCGTGCCTTGCCTCCACGGAGGCTGGGATGCCAACTTGTGGCCTCTTTGGGCTGCGTTGAGAAGGTTTGCTGATGTGAGCAGGCTTTTCGCTGAGGACAAGCCTGCTTTCAGCCGGGGCCGCTGCAACGTTTGCAGTTGGAGGTGGCAAGATGCGTTTGGCGCACCAACTTAAATCCTATTGGAAATCTCGGGGTGTGACTAGTGTTATTAGGTATAACTTAGGTTATATATTTCAAGTATTACTTTGTTTTCTTATTTCTACTTATTATATTGATATATTTCTATAATGTTATTTGAAGGTTATTTTATTTATTGTATTTTAAATAAATATATATATATATACATATATTCTTACATGATACGTAAGGAATCTATTTTTTATATGTTAAAATATTTAAATATTTGTTTTATGCTTTATTTTTAATAGGGTTTGGTGTTTTTCATGATATAAAATGGAATTTTAAATCAAATATTGTTAAACAACATATATATATATATTATTCGAATATTATAACATGTATATTAGTTTTATTTAAATGGTATTTTATTTATATGTTTATATTTTTATTTGTGGGTTTATTGTTTAATTGGTCGTTGTTTGATATTCGTTGTTTTTGGGATATTTGGCTATGTGTTTTGTTTTATGTTATTTGGCTATTTATATGTAATTCTTATAAGTATTTATTTTGTATTTTGATAATTGCTTAGAATCGGAGATTATTGAATATATGATTTAGGAAGTTAATTATATGATAGATATAGTATTTTCGAAAAATAGTAGGTTTTGAGGAAGATATATTATTTTTTATATTTGGGTATATATTAATATGAAAGGGGTAGTATTTGGTAGTTGTATAAAGGAAGTGGATATTGTTGATTATAGATATAGTATTTTGGATATATTTTGTGGTAGTGGGGTTATATAAAAGAATTGGATATTATTGAATATATGATTTAGGAATTTAATTTATATAATAGATGTATTTGTATGTTCTAATAATTTATAATTTTGGGAGACAGATTTCGGGGTGGTTTGGAACGATTTTGAGATAAAATTTTATAAAGGGGGGTTATGGGACGATTAGCCTAAAGAATATTTTATGTTATCGGAGATATTAATTGAATGTATATTTATTGTTATATTGTTATGTTTGGATAATTTATGTATTTATGTGTTTGTGTTGTAATATTTGTCTTATTAAGATGATTTTTGATATTAATATTAATTTGGATGAAGGATTAGGAATTTTGACATTGGTGATTATTACATATAGAGATGAATATATTTTATAAATATGGGGACGAATTTATGTGTTTGTGTTGTTAGTTATTGTGGTTTATAGATTTTATTTTTTATAATAATTTTCATAACATTGTGTTTTTATTATATTTTTTATTATTTAAATTGAATATATTTTAAATATATAGCTAATTTATGATATAATATTTGATGAAAGATGTCGCTAAAGTATGAAGGCGGGCATATGTTCGTAAAATTCGATTTTCGTGGGAAGAAATAGAAATGGATTTAGTTCGTTTGTTGAATTGTTATGGAATTTCGATAAGTCTTGTTAGATGGGTTTTGAGAATGTAATTTGAATATGGATATATTATTTTTCTTTGTATCTAGATATTATAAAATATGTGTTGCCCGAAGAGTTGGTGTAATTGCATGTTTTAGCAATTGATTAAAGAAGATGAATATTGGGATTATATATCGTTTTTGGAGTTGTTATACTTATATATTTTTACGGATAGCATTATTGTTTAATGTCGAAAAATATGTTTGCCAATATATTTGGTTGTTATAGCATGTTATTGCATTGTAATTTGGCGCGAGTAGATCGTCGAGGCAAATAAGGTTATATATATATATATATTTATTATTGTCTTTATAAATGGAATTATTTTAAGTTAGGTAATTATTAAATTAGTATGATCCAATAAATAATATTAGTGATTATTTGAATTATATATGATTTTATGTCGTAAATAGAAATTGTACGATAAAATGAAAAAATGGTTATGAATTCGTTTTATAGGAGAATATATATTTGTTATTTGATTTTTTGATGATGATAATAACAGTGGTATTATAATAAGCAAGCTAATATATATTTTGTATTGGTAATTTGTTATTTATATTGGTAGGAGATGTGTTTAGCTGGAGCGATTTAATAGTCCGAATTTTATGTAAGTTATTTAATATGTTTGTTTTTTAATTATTAGGTGATAATGCGAAAATATTTTGCTTTGTATATTATATTGTTTCGTTTATACATCCAAATAATGATATTTATAATGATTATATGATGTATAGTTTATAGATTTAGCATAATATAATCGATTTTATATAGGTTACAAAAGATAAATATATGTATTTGAGTATAGCCATTTGGAGCCGTTTTTTGTGCCGCAGGATTGCTCGATTTGGGGTCGTTTTGAAAAAGGAGCGTTAGGTAATTATACATTTTCGAACCCAATATATATAACGATATATTAGTATGTGACTTGCAATATAGTATGGGAAATTGGAGAGAATAGTATAGATAGCATTATTAAATTTATAGCGCCCAATAATAATATATAATTTAGTATGGAAAAATCGAAATAAGCGATTATTATGAGCAACAATATGATTTCGATTATATATAAATTAAGTATGTGATAAAGTCCCTTGATTTTTGTCGTTCTAAACGTCATTATGCGATGTAATATGGGTAAAAAATGATATTGGAGTTTATACTTTAACAATATAATAGTATGGTATTCTATTCATAATATAGAATTTTATTTTAATTTTTGAAATCATTCTGAATATTATTGTAGTATTTGATATGGAAAGGTAATGGTATTGAATTAATATTTATATTTTATTGAACTGGATTATTATTATTGATATGTTATTATATTATTTTTGTTGTTTATAAGTTTATGATATGGAATAGTCTGGTAATCTTTATTTCAGATTTCAAAATCATTATATAATTTAGTATGGGAAGTATTAACATCAAATTTAAGATTTTCGATTTTTGTATATTTTTTATTCATTTTTGTACAGAAAATCGGAGAAAAAAGCATTCGAACTAATTCTGAGAAAAATGCTTATAATATGATTCTTAGATATTAATTCAATTTAAATAATTTTGTATAATATTTCATAGTTTTTTAAATAAGTATATATTTTTAAGGCTAGATATATAGAGTTAATTGTTACCATCTTTAAAATTGAATTGAAAGAAAAATAAAAATATATATATTACTATAATTTATATTTTTATATTTTTATTTGATTTATTATTTAGTATATTAAAAGAATGGATTTCTATATATGATTTGATTCAAAAATGATTTAAAATAATACTATTATATTTACTCTATAAAACGAAACCGTGAAACTTGCTCGTCGCACTTGCGCGCGTTTTCCCGAAAAATCCCGGATATTTCGGAAAATTGGTCTGGACTGCCCCTGGAAGATGTAACCGCTTCATATTTCCTACGGACCGCTTGCCCAAATCTGTCCGGGCTACCCCGGCATTTGTGCGGAAGACATAGTGGCTTTATTTTTTGTAGGGACCTCGACATCAGAATCCGGCGCGCTGCGCGCCGGAGGTGTGTCTCTTTTTGTCTCTGTCTCGTCGGTGTCTTTCTCTGTCTCTCTTTGTCTGTTGCTTTGTCTGTCTGTTTGTCTGTCTGTGTCTGTCTGTGTCTGTCTGTGTCTGTCTGTGTCTGTCTGTGTCTGTCTGTGTCTGTCTGTGTCTGTCTGTGTCTGTCTGTGTCTGTCTGTGTCTGTCTGTGTCTGTCTGTGTCTGTCTGTGTCTGTCTGTGTGTGTCTGTCTGTGTCTGTCTGTCTGTGTCTGTCTGTGTCTGTCTGTCTGTCTGCTGTTTGTCTGTCTGTGTCTGTCGTCTCTGTCTGTCTGTCTGTCTGTCTGTGTCTGTCTGTCTGTGTCTGTCTGTGTCTGTCTGTGTCTGTCTGTGTCTGTCTGTGTCTGTGTCTGTCTGTGTGTCTGTGTTTGTGTCTGTGTCTGTGTGTGTGTGTCTGTGTGTCTGTGTGTCTGTGTCTGTGTGTCTGCGTTTGTGTGTCTGCGTCTGTGTGTCTGCGTCTGTGTGTCTGTTCTATGCGTCTGTACGTCTGTGTGTCTGTTCTATGCGTCTGTATGTCTGTATGTCTGTATGTCTGTATGTCTGTATGTCTGTATGTCTGTGTGTTTGTGTGTTTGTGTGTTTGTTTGTGTGTTTGTGTGTTTGTGTGTTTGTGTGTTTGTGTGTTTGTGTGTTTGTGTGTTTGTGTGTTTGTGTGTTTGTGTGTTTGTGTGTTTGTGTGTTTGTGTGTTTGTGTGTTTGTGTGTTTGTGTGTTTGTGTGTTTGTGCTTGTCTTTGTTTGTTTATGTCATTGTTTTTTTTGGTTTCCGTCTTTGTGGTTGTTTTTGTTTTTGTTTGTGTTTTTGTTTTGTTTTTTTGTGTTTTGTTTGGTTGTTGATTTGTTTATAAATTTGTTTATTTGTTTGAAATTGATATTGCATAGGTGATTTTTTATGAAATTATGAATTGAATAATATTGTATAGGTTAATTGTTATAAATTTATAAAAATTAGGATTCATGTTTTTGGTTATTGAAATAATTTGGATAAATTTGATGGAAATTGAAGGATATTGTGCTTAGGTGGAAATGATATTTAAGACTAAGATTTCAAATATTATGTTTTAAATTGTATAGATTGATTATTTTAGATTTGAATAAGTTAGCGATAGAGGTTGTTGATATATATTACCAGGATATGAAATTTGAAAATATGTTGGTTGTTATTAGATTCGGTTTTGGGATGTATTGTTTTAGTTGAAAGATTTATGGAGGAAGTAATATTTTAGAGGAGTAGG